GACATGTGATATTCCACTAGCAGAATGTAAGCAAGGAATGTTTCATTTCTGTTTTTGTATCCTCAGTCCTTAGTATATAGGAGCTGTTTAATAAATGTTTATTGGAATAAGTTTAATTAACAGCCAGCTACAGAGGCAGTGAGATGAGCATCCTGGCAAGAATGAGGGCATATGCTGAGGGTGCTACGGAGTGTTAAGACTGGAGAGAGATCATCTGTGGGTAGAAATAAGACATTTAATGATGCAATGTGAAATAAGCAGAACCAGGAAAACAATATATACAATGACTACAACAGTCTAAATGGAAAGGACAATAACAACAACCCAAACTAAATACTTTATAATTTTAACGACCAGGTATGACCCCGAGGAAAAGATAATATGCACCTCCCTTCCCTTTTTTTCAAAGGGCCCAAGCCAGCCACATCTTCATTCCTTTCCAAGCCCCTGGCTCTCTGCCAGGCCACAGAAGCCTGCTCATCCTGGAAGTACCCTCTGCCCCTACAGCCCCTTCTTCTAGGAAGCTGGCTTTTCCTAGAAGCTTCATTTTAAGCAAAGTGTCTGGGCCAGCTTTGTCTTCATTCCTCTCCAGGCTCCATTCCGGACTCTGAACTTTTTCATTTCTCAGTTCACTTCAAGGAAGGGTCCCCCAGAGCAGCCACATTGTTTCCTTCATTCCTTTCTAGGCCCTGCTAATGATTCTCAGAACTTCTTTCTCCCCCCGTGCCCTTTCTTCAGTCTTTTCAGCTGCCTTTTATGTGTTATTTTTTTCCCCATTAGAAAGTAAGTTCCTCAAGGACAGGGGCCATCTTTCTTTTTGCTTCTATGTGTATCTCCAGAGCCTAGCCCAGTAGCTGGCATGTATTAAGTGTTTAATAAATGCTTCTTAATTTGACTGATTCTCAGGAGTTTCTACAGTGCAGTAGAACCTAGGCTGATAGTCAAGAAATCTGGGTTCTGGTGGGCATCAGCTTCCGTATCTGTAAAATGAAGGTGCTGAACTAGAGAAGTTTTAAGGTACAAGTTCTAACATTCAATGAGTCTACAGAAGAATATGCCATCTATGTGCTTTCTTCTGAATATTAAAAAATATACTTCTGGCCCAATGTGAGTTGTGACTCTAGTATGGGTAAGGATGGGATATATTTCCTGACTCATGTTCCTTCATCCGGTCCCCCCTGAAATAACAGGCACACATTTGCAAGATGGTTAGTTGGCTAGGAGGCAATCTGTAGCTGTGATGTGAAACTAATTAACCCAACTAAGCTCTAGGACCCCAAATATGAGCATAATCACCACAGCCTAACAATTGAGCAAACTTAGACAGGTAATTTATTCAACCACCAACAATTTATTAGGGGTTATGTGCAGAGTACAGTGTGAGATGTGTTAGGAGAGATAAAGATTGAATAAGATGTCCTTGTGAAGGTTACCATCCATTTGGGGGACATAACATACACAAGATGAACCATAAGCTCACAGGTGCAAACCAAAGGTTTTATATGTATGTATATATATATGAAAGGTGGGGAAGGGGGAAGAGGAGATCATTACTGACTGAGTGGAATCAGAGAGATCTCTAGATGTATCGTTTGATGTGGGCTTTAAAGGAAAGGTAGACTTTCAACAGAGTTGTGAGAAAACTTACAGACAAGGAAACTGAGATGTAGTTAGAAGTAAACCTGGATCCTCTGACTCTAAACCAGGGCTCTTTTCCTCTATGCCAAAATTTTGGCTTTTGAGGGAAGATTACATAGAGAAAAGCCTGTGGAAAAGGAGGCTACTGTGGTATACAGACAGAAAAGTAAATCAAAATAGATGAGCTAGAATGTGGCCACACAAGGGGAAGCAGTTTGTGTTAAGGCTGGTGGTGAATTAGGGTGTGACCAAACTCCCAAATGCCTTGAAAGACAAAGGAGTTTGAACTTTTAAATAGTAGGAAATAGGATTTTGTTCCCCATGAGGTCACTGGTATTTTCTTTTTACAACAGCTCAGCAGCCTGTGCCTGTGGCAGTGAACAAAGGAAAGCAATGATAATTTGTTAGCTGATATGAAACAATCCTTTCCACTCCATGGAAGATCTAAAAAGGCTCCTTGGCCACCGAGGGAAAACTGATATTACTAGAGTTAGGTGGGTAGAATTCACCATAAAAATGAAAGATTTACTCAGATGTGTGTCCACTGTGTGGAGGACAGATAGCCTAGTACTGGCAGGTGCAGGAAGAAAACAAGGGACTGAGAGAGAGGACCCTTACCTCAGGGAACTCTAGGAACAGTCTGGGATAAAAGGTAGTGACAGAGAAGACTTTGGTAACGTTTAAATCTGGGCAAACCAAGGCTACAAGACTGACATCAGGCCAGGCTGCAGAAAGAATTCCTGGAGCCTCAAGCCTTTCTTCAGAGTTAAGCTCCTCAAGGGCAGGGATTGTTCTTGGCCTTAGTTTCTTTAAATCCTCAAGCTTAACACAGTTCCAGATACTTAAGTGCTTAATAAATGTTTGTCATTCATGATAATTCTTTTTCAATTGGTCAAGAAGCAGGGTGGGTAACCTCTAGACCTTTACACACTAGACCTTACTCATTTAATAGATAACCTCTTCACCCAGTAACCAACCTGGTGATAAGTTAAAAGCTCAGCCATCAGGCAAAGAGATACCTTTACCCACTGGGCTCATACTTCAAGCCTTTCTAGCTTATTAGGACCTAGGTTCACCTCTGAGCCAGAAAAACTTTAGCATTGTTCAAAGGAGCAAAGATTTAAAGCAAGTAACCTTTGAGGAGCATCTAGTTTTCATTTTACAGAAGAGGAAACAAGGTCCATGGAGGCTATGTGACTGTCCAAAGTTACTCAGGTCCTCTGATTCCAAACCCAGCACTCTTTGCCAATATATGCACTTTTTCACAATGACCCTGTGAGGCATTTTGTAGATGTGGAAGTCAAGGCAAAAAAAGTTAAAATTATTTAGATAAGCAGTCACATCTTGGTACGCGGTAGGGTCAGGAATCGAACCCAAGGCTTTGAGCTCCAAGTTAAATAAATGTTCTTAACACTTGGTCAGGCTGCCTAAGAGAGATTCAGTCTTTCTCACACCCTGAGCTAGCAGAGGATGGGCAGGTTCTCTAACAGCCATTTGACAGGAGGAGAAAAAGAAATATAGGCAAGATTGAGCAACAGTTTGTAGCCAGTGAAAGAGTCAGTGAAGAAATAAGATGGGAATAACAAGGCTTACTTCAGTGTCACGTTCATTTCTCTCTAATTTTAAAAACGAGCTGGAAGGAAAAAAAGATAACTTGCCAAAACCTCCCTGACTCTAGCTCTCATTTTTAAAACTGCTTCTCTCTATGGATAGAAACAAAAATGCCCTCAAATTCTAAGGCTACATCAAAACCACATTTAAATGCCTACATAGAAGTACCTCTCCTCACCCCTTTCATTTTTTGAGAAATAAATACCTATTCTATATCCATTCTATTTTTGTTCTAACAGGAGAAGCTTCTTGAGGGAAGCCAAGTAGTACACAGGATAGATCACCAGGCCTGAAGTCAGGAAGACTCATTTTCCTAAGTTCAAATCTGGCCTCACACACTTACTAGCTGTGTGACCCTGGGCAAGTCATTTCACCATTTACCACAGTTTCCTCATCTGTAAAACGAGCTGGGGAAAGAGATGGCAAACCACTCCAGTATCTCTGCCAAGAAAATCCCAAATGAGGACAAGAAGAGACACATACTTGTATAAGGCTTATGGTTAATTCATGGAATCACAGTCGCTCCACAGATTCTTTGGCAAGGCAGGGGTCTTCCAGTACAAACCAGTGGCTCCTATCTTTTTCTAGTATAAAGGTCGATTTTAAAGTTAAAACCACACATAACACTGATGTACCATGACTATTTGTTGAAGGAAGAAATATATAATGACAAAATGCCAATGCTTGATATACTTTGACTTGTCAGAAGCCTAGAAATAACTACTTGGGACCTGCTGTATTTCAGATTGTCTCCTGTCAGTATGATTGCATTCACTGTCTAGGCCAGTATTACACATATGACAACAAAAACATATTTCCATAGTGTTTTAAGATTTACAAAGCATTTTTGTTGCAACAACCATGTGAGGCAAAGAAGGTGAAGATGACACTGTAAGAGAAGGGAGGCCTAGACCTTTGGTCTCTGAGGGAAGAAGACAAAGACTTCCCCCCAAGACCTATGTAGGGGTTTGGGGTAAAGTGGAACATCCCTCCTAGTCCCATTTGTTAAGGGACTTAGATGTAGAAAAGGGTGAAAAGGTTATTTTTGCCCCTTGTTTTGCCTAATGACCTAAGGCAGTTAACGGTACAAGTGACACTGCGCTGGGTCTGGAATCGCAAAGACCCAAGTTCAAATGTGCCCTTAGACACTTACTAGCTGTGTGACCCAGAGGGCAACTCACTTAACCTCCCCTCCTCAGTTTCCTCAAGCCAAAAGGGGATATAAGAATAGCAACGACCTTCCAGACCGGACGCTGCCTGGCACACTGTGGGCGCTTAATCAATGTTTCCTTCCTACTTAACCTCTGGGTCTAGGCTCCTTCTAAGACTGGAAGATGCACTAAAGGCGACGATCTACAGGAGTAGGAGGTTCCTATGCTAAAAAAATCAAAGGGCCAGTTTAAAAAAAAAAAACAAAACCAAAGCTTGCCTCAACCGGCCCCGGCCCCTATTAAACGGAAAATGTCAGAGTCGTGCCCCACTCCATTCTCCCCCGCCAGCGAGGGCTGGACGTGCAGTGAGTGAGCCATGAATGGTCTGGCTGACCCCCGGACTTCAGGGGTCCCGCTCTCACCCCAGCTCGCTCCACATCCACTGTCAGGCTAGGCTCACGCGTTTTTGTTTTGTTTTGTTTTGGGGGCTCCTGCATCCCAGCCTCTACCCCAGCCCCCGCCCCGCAGCCCCACCCCCGGCCACGCGCCCCGTCCCGCGCGCCCCGCCCACGCTCCCGGGCAGCCGCGGCCGCCTCCTACCTGCCCGGGTGGCCGCCTCCCGAGGAGCCCGCGCCCGCGTGCGGCCTCCTTCGCGCCGACGGCTCCATGGCCTCCGGGCCCGCCTCGGGCCTTCACTAGCTCGCTCCCCGCCCCGCCCGCGGCCTGCAGAGCCGGGAAGCGGCGAGCGGCGAGCGGGATCCCAGCCGAGCCCGGTCTGGGAGCGCGATCCCACGGGTCGGAGGGGGAAGGGAGAGCAGAGAGTGCGCGCTCCGCCGAGAGGCCCAGCAGCTGCGCGGACAATGGGAGGGAGGAAGGAGGGAGCTGGGCGGGAGGGGAGAAAGGAGCGAGAAAAGGGGGAGGAGGCGGAGGGGGGGGGGGCGGGGAGAAGGGAGGGGGAGGAGGAGCGAGATAAACGGGAGGAGACGGAGGAAGGGAGAGGGAGGAACTGGGGTGGGGAGAAAGGAGGGGGAAAAGCTAGATTAACTGGAGAAGGGGACGGGGAGGGGAGAAAAGCGAGATAAAGGGAAGGAGACGGAGATGGAGGAGGGGAGAGGGAGGGAGGACCTGGGGGGAAGAAGGTAGAGGGGAGGAGGAACGAGATAAACGGGAGGAGACGGGGGAGGGAGGAGGGAGGAACTGGGGGGGGGAGAAAGGAGGGGGAAAAGCTAGATTAACTGGAGAAGGGGACGGGGAGGGGAGAAAAGCGAGATAAAGGGAAGGAGACGGAGATGGAGGAGGGG